TTGGAGCGGCAAGTCGTCCAACAACAGGATCTCGTGCCCCACAAACGAGATTTCGTCCCGCATATGACTTGCTGCTATGCTGTCATTGCTACAGTTTGCTTGTCACTCTATTCAGTATGTACTCCACCTAGAGATGCCCGCAATCTCCACAACGCCACTCTTCCCCTGATGTGCACAACGGTGAACATGTCAGCCTCTGTGTTTCTTTCTCACACTGCTCATACATCCCTTTTCTAACAGTTCATTTCTTATCTATTGCGACTCTTACAAGGATTGTTGTGTCGCGTGCTGCAATCACAGAATGTAAGCGAGCTGCTCACATCCACGATAATACCTTGTTGCTACCAACGTGAACAATTTGAAGTGCCTTCAAGGTGTGTCATCGCCTCTGCCTCATTCCTTTGCTTCGCGTACCGTCTGCGGTGTCTTCAGACGCGTCCACGTTTTACCGTCCTTGTAGATGTAGATCCTCCAACTATCCTCCTTAATGGTAACGCCAGGTTCACCGCGCTTGGGTACCTCGCATTTGACTTCTGACCAGTCTCAGTCCATTAACTCATCCATCGTAGAAATAGGACGCGACGTCTCAGTCTCCGTTGGGACGACGCGTGGGTTTGACTCGGGCAGTTCTACAATATCCCTAGCCTTGAACACGTCGTTGATTGACTGCTAGATGGCAGATGCTTCGTGCAACAGCCGGGGTTGTAAGTTGACTCATCCCACCCTGATGGCTTCTTTGATTGCTACGAAATTTTCGACATCGCCGTTCTCGTAGGCAGCGCGGGCGAAGTGAAGCGGGAGCTCAAGGCCCTCCAAGCGGCGGTTTATCGAGCTGTAAGTGCCAAACACCCCATATGACATTGCCCAATGTATCAGTTGAAGGAGCTCTTCGATGTCGCCGTACGCAATCTTTCCCTGCTCGTTGTCCGTGGGTCCCGGGGTTGGCTTGAATCTCGTAATGGAAGAGAGCCACTCCTCTCAAAGTCGACCGTAAAGCTGGTTGGTATGGAGGCTAGCAATGGCTAGACGATCATTTCTATGTCTACCGCATTTTGTGCGTTTCAGAAGCACCAATGTCGCTGTTTTGATGTTGGTCAGCGCTTCGAAAGGTCCTATAACCACAAAGACCGCTGCGATGATGTCTTCCGTAGACCATCTGCAGTGGAGTGCCAGAGTGGGCTTAACTTCCAGCCGCTTCGGTGAAGTATTTCCTGATGTTAGGAGGCCGATGAACTTTCGCACGCTATCCCTGGCCTCATAGGCTTCGTATTCATCGTCACTGATGCCCATTCCATGCGGATCAAAAACACAACCGGACCATCTCCCAAGACTGACGTGGACAGTAAGATGGCGGATGGATCTGGCTGACGGTGGGAGTATCATAGAGAGACCCCTGGACCAGCCACGCCGCCATGTAGCTGAACACTATATTGAGACACGTACGCATGAAATTGAGTTTCCCATACAATACAGAGGAAGCCTTTTCGTTGATCTGTTGATTGACCCGCAGAATAGAAGCTGCATTGGTCGTGGGGTAGTAACGAGATTCGACAACGCCTGGAAGAATGTAGCGATAAATCGTGAGGCGCAACTCAGTCGGAAGATCCATAAAGTAGCATGGCGCGTGGTTGTTGGTATCCGACATGGCTATAGGTTGTGTGGATGGGTGTGGTATGGGTGTCGGAAGCTGCGAGTGTCTTACAGGTAGCGGTGGTGCACAAGAGTTGTCGAGGTTAGCGAGTTGAGACAGAGATTGTAGGTGTAGGTAAAGAAGTCAAATATTGCTGTGCTCTATATAACGCCGCTTCCCAATGTGGATTCCTGCCACATGCCAGGTCCGCGAACCATGGTTGCGCGACATCAGGAATAATGAGCCGGTAGCTACACCATGCATTCGCTTGCGATTGTTACCTTGGTGAGTCGACGTATACCTCTGGGTCGCGTATGTCGAGGTAGTGGGACGCTGACAATGTATCGAAGCACAACAGACGTGGTCGGATTTCAAGCAGCTGAAACCTTATCCGCGGCACAGTTTGAAGGTGGGAGGTGTAAACGACCGTGTTATTGTATCCGTTGTATTTACAAGATATCCCATCCCTCAAGACCGCCCGATATAGTCGCATGGCTCACCCTCTACGACTTACCCAACACCCAAACCTCCCCATTGCTCGAAGTATCACTCGTCATGAACAGCCTTCCCTGAGAATCCCATGCCAATCCCGCAGGCCTAAAGCACCCAGAGCTGAAACTCGGTCCATTACCCTGGCACTTCTCCACAGCCGGATTATAGAAGATGTCCTGAGCTGCCGTGGTACTAGTAAGAGGCTCAACAGGCGTGTAGTTTCCATCCGCACCGATCTTGAATTTCACAGCGACGAGCTTGAAGCCGGTGACGGGTGTACGGTTCCAGCTACCGTGGTAGGTAACGTACATGGTTGTGCTGTCGGCGTCGAACTTGCAGTCGATAGGTGCGGAGTGCGGGAACAAGGTAAGCTTAGGGGCTGTGGCTGTCTGGACGCAGGTATCGTCGTTCATGTTAGTGCTGGGCTGTTGTACGAACCAATCGCCTACTTTGAAGGTCTTGTCGGTGAAGTCGCTGGGCTGCCAGACGGTGAAACAGGATGGGTAGCCGTACCAGTTGTTGTTGGGCTTGGTCACATCGCCCATGTAATGGATCTTCTCGCCGGGGTTGTTGAAGTGGATGTCTTTTCCGTTGCGCTTGAAATCGTCGCCGCTGTTCTCTACGCCCCAGAGCCTGTATAGTTGTTAATCCTATTGCGTGCGCTTGATCATGGCGGATACTTACATGTTGTTCTTGTCGAAGCAGATTCCTACGTCGTTACGTTGTCCGTAACCAGCGTTGTATCCCCCAGACACGTAATTGTAGCCCCCACTGGGAATCTTCGACAGATCAAAGACCTTGATAATGGCACGGCCAGTCTTGGGGTCCGATGCAGCAGAGTCAATGTTGGCGTTGGAGCCATGGGAGACAACTAGCAAATTCGGATCCTGAGGTGCGAGGGCAAGAGTGCGGGTCAGATGTGAGCCACCGTTGAACATGCCAGTTATGATGGTCGTTCGAGTTCCAAGTGTCCCCGCGGCAGCGTCATATGGCCAGGAGTAAGCTTGAGTCATGGAACTCGCGTACAGCGTCTTTCCGTCAGGACTCATTGCAATGCCGTGATTCAGGTTGTTTTGCGAAATCAACATCTTGGTAGAGGCGACACAACCATCTGTACCCATCTTGTGGTACGAGATACCTTTGCCCGATTGAACTACCAACATGTTTCCTGCCCCGTCGAACTGAATGCTGCGAGGAGCAGTCAAGCCTCCCGCAACCTTTGTGGCCTTCCATCCAGCTGCAAGACTACCCTGGAACGTGGGACTGCCGGCACCGGAGCACGAGGCTGGAATGGCAGCAGACGCTGCTGGCTTTGACGTCGAAGAGGGTACGACGCTAGTCACAACAGTGGTCGGGTTAGCGGAAGGACTGGCTATGGGCGCCGTCAGCAGGTTAGCATTAACCAAAGAATCGAAATTCTCTATGCGAGCAGTGTCCAGATTGTGGATCCATTTCCCGTAGGCGGCGTGGACGTTGAATGCAGAGTCGTTCCTGGCAGGATCCTCGACCGAAGAGACGCCGTAAGCCCAGGCAAACTGTGTTGTACCGGTACCATTCAATGCGTATCTTTCGTCCTCGTTGTTCTGCCATCCAGTGCAACCTTTGCATAGTGCGTTGACTGTCCAGTGTGTAGCGTTTGTCTTTGTACCTTTTAGGTAACTGTGCTCGGCTCCATCGTATCCAAGCGGTAAAGCGATACCACTGTAAGTCATCAGTAACGTCATCAGATATTCGAGAAATGCGTCATACAAAGCAAAGCGAGCAGATATCGTCCCGGATTGACCATTGGGCCAGGCAACGCTCAATGGGTTCCATACCATATTGCCGCCCCATGAAAAGCCGACCCATTGATTGGCAATTGGCGCCGTGATCCTTACAATAGCATCATACGGGTCTGTAACGTTCTTCGGAAGAGCAACACCAAATGACATTCCTGTTTCCGGCTCCGTGTATGACGAGTAACTGATCTTGGTTTCTGCATCGTAGACAACAGTAGATTGTGCCTCACCTTCTTGAGCGAGAGCTTCGTTCGGTCAGTATCAAGCACTAAACTAGACGTTACACTCACCATAACCAGCAAGTGCAGCAGCGCTGCCAAGAACCTGAGTGTAGCGCATAGTGGCGGGTTCTGTGAATAGGTGGGACGTAGCTATACGTTCTTAGCTGTCCGCGGTAGGCGTTCCCAACTCTTTATGCGATCACCTCCACCATCCATCGTGACAACAGAGCGAGCCACGAGCCACACAGGGACATGCTTCGATCTCGTCAATCTGTAATCTGTTTTCATTCTTCTTGTATGTCTTAGATGAAAATGTTGGAGAAGACCTCGGGAAGTTATATCGAACCACCAATCGTTGCACTCAGAATTGTGGTATGTGACGGACTGTGTATACCAATGTGATCGCTTTGTAGCTTTTGGCATTGCGGGAAAGTTTCAGCCTGAGTACACCGGTGGAAACGGCATACTGATAGTCGGATACAGGTCTTGATGTGGTACGATTGGTCGATGAAACTTGGTTCTATCAATTTTGATGAGCTGTAACCGCATTGTGACCCGGAACAATACTCGCGATAGCCAGTACTCGCTCACACAGTGTTACTGAGTGACGTTAAGACCTGCAAACCCCTGGACAAGCGACGGCAGTTGGCACGCGACGCGGGGCCGGGATGTTAGAGTGGTGGGGTGCTTCCCTTGCTCCTTCGTCGATATTGTGTGGACAGTTTGGTATTCTTCCAAATAGCCCGGGTCCCTAGCGATCTCGAACGTGTGGGGAGCCTGTTAGAACGTTGAGATTCTGGAGGTTGGAACAACCGACTACACCAAATAAATATCCGAATTGTGGGATCTACACGTGGATTAGTATTTCGAAAGGGAGTATTCGCGCAGTAGGATCCGTTTTCGCATCCAGTCAAGATTGATATTTGGATACCAAGTGGTAATAGTACACAAATCTTAGCACGAAACGCTGCCAGCTTTTCTTATCATCCTTTCTGGTAAGCCTTATACACGAGCCTTGTTCATGTACGCGTTTCCGAAAGTCCACAGGCCGAACGTCGCCAGAATGCTCAATCCAATAGGAAGCGGCTTGCCAGACTTCATTGCTCGAGGGATGGAACTGCCAGCGAGGATAATGGAAGCGAGAAGAGCCAATTCAACACCGTACGCTGCGCGACTGTTCACGCGGTAGCCACCGAGCATGTACTATGATTTGTTAGACGCGTGTGAGGGGGTAATACATGTGAGATGAGGTCATACCAGAAGTCCGACAGTGCATCCAGCTGCGATTGAAGGCACAGATCCAGTCCTCACGTAGCCGGTGATACCGCCACCAGCAGTGAGAGCACCCAGGATGAGAGCGATGTTTCCGAGAGAGCCCTGAACCTCCAATTAGCATCCATTCTACATCATGACTCGCGCGTGGCAGCAACTGGTGATCACGTACCATTGTCGCGTCGTGTTCTGCTATTTGATCGCGTGATAGATGTGGTGGAAGTTGGGCAGCCGCGTAGATGCGCGAGATTTGAAGGAAGTAATTGAGGCTGTAGAAGTTTCTCGTAGACTGCTGAGAAAGAAGGAAGGCAGGGCCAAGTCCATGCCATCATTTGCGGGGATCCAAACGGACACCCGAAGGACACCGAACCGCCGACGCGGTCGGTCGTCGTACCCCAGAGCTCGGACCAGCACGAACATCTGGCCTCAAGCTATCCACCAGCAGCAGCAGCATCACCACAGTGCGTCATCTCCCAATTCCGCACACAACACCGCATCGCTCGACACACATCCTCGAGATCTCACAACAATGGCCCCAAAACAGCGCAGCACCGCCCCAACCGGCTCCCCAGCTACGACCACAACTACAACAGCTACCCCATCAGCACCTGCTCGCTCAAGCAAAGCAAACAACACAGACGCCGCCGCCATTGCGCAGGGAATATGGAATAAATACGTCGACAAGACACCCCAGCGAACTAAGCTGCTGGACACCTTCCTTGCTTTCCTCGTTATCGTCGGTGCTCTGCAGTTCCTCTACGTGGTCTTGGTTGGAAACTTTGTACGTCGTCAATGCGCCCATCACATTACCTGTTCCCATGATCCTGTGCTATGTCCAGTACATGAATAGATGGATACTATATAACATGGGAATTATTCGCTAACGCATAATTAAAACAGCCTTTCAACGCCTTCCTCTCCGGTTTCAGCGCAACAGTCGGCCAATTCGTCCTCACAGCCTCGTTGCGCATCCAGACAAACTCGGAGAACAAGGCGCATTTTGAAAACATTTCGCACGAGCGGGCGTTTGCGGATTTCGTCTTTGGCAGTTTATTGTTGCACTTCTTCTGTGTCAACTTTATCAACTGAGGGGGAAGATGCGTTGAGGACGAGCAAAAAGAGAGGGAGAGAATACAAGAGAAAAGGTACAAGGTAGAGTAGCAATTGTGTCACAGGCTGAGGACATCACAGAAGAGAGGTCTCGGGATTGAACATGTGTAAGAATACCAGAGATACGAATGAGGCATGGATGGCCTTGGTTTTGACAGTGGCATTTGTGCAGAAGTAAATGTCCCGCTATATCACAAAGCAGCAGCTCCACCAATGCAAGATCACATGGGCCTATTCCAAACCCCACCCCGTCTCGCCGACAACTCACCATTCAAACTCCCGTAGCATAAACCCCCAACCCAAACTCCTCCCTAACCGCCTCCCCCAACCTCCTAATCCCCTCCTCAATCTTCTCCCCAGGCGCCGCCGCATACGTCGCCCTAAAGAACAAGGTATCATGCTCCTCCTCCGCATCCGCATAGAACCAACTACCCCTCATAACCAGTGCTCCATGTTCAATGACACGCATAAAAATGCCCTCCTCGATACTCTCAATGCTCTTCTCGGGATAACTAGGATGTTTCCTAAAGTCGACCTGCATCCAATGGAACATGCCCGCCATAGGAGGTTTCCAACTCATGACTTCAGTAGGGAGGTACTTTGAGCATGCAGAAAGGATGATGTCGCGGCGGTGTGTATATTGCATGCGCATGTGGATGAGCCAGTCGAGATAGCCCGCATGGCCCCAGTGTTCATCTAGTAGTTTGAATAAGATGAGTTGCGACATACCAGCCGGGTTCTGGGTCGATACATCGGCGTGTTTGGAATACCGTTCTACGACTTCGGCGGGCGCGGTGATCCAGCCGATTCGCGATCCGGGCGCGATTACTTTGGAGAAGGAGTCCATCCGGATTACCCGTCCGTCTGTGTCGATGGAGAGGTAGCTGGGCACGAGAGATTTGATGAAGTCGGCGTGCGTGCCTGGAGCTGGGACGGAGGGCGCGTTGGCGCCGGTGTAGGGTTGCATTTGGAGGAAGTAGTAGGGCTCGTCTTCTAGGATGTGGATGTCGTGCTTTTGGCAGACTTTGTAGAGTGCGTGCCGACGCTCTGCGCTTTGCGTTGCTCCCGTCGGGTTCTGACCTGTGGGGACGGTGTAGAGGAGATGGGGTTTTCGTGCGCCGCGAGCTGCTTGGTCCCAGTTTGTGAGAAGGGAGTCCATCTCGTCGGGTAGGAGACCTTCGTTATCGATGGGGACGCCGCACACGCGGACGCCCATGGGTCGCGCAGTTTCCACAAAAGCCGAGAAGGTGTATTCCTCGGAGAGGATCATATCGCCTGGTCGGGTGAACATCCTCAGACACATGTCAGTTGCAGATGTGCTTCCGACGGTCATGGTGCACTTCCAGTCTTGGTAGGGCGGGTCATGTATCAGTTCAGTGTGCTCAGTCATGAAGCGGAGGAGCTGTGCTGAGCCAGATCCCTGGCCGTAGTTGAACGCAGTAGCAATGTCGAAGTTGGATTTGTTCTCCGCGAGGTCATGTTTGCCTGCCGTAATAGTCACACCAGACTCCCTAGTCTCGGCTTCTGAGAAGTGCCCGATCTTGGGGACCTTGATTGATAGCTCTTCAAATGGAAAGTACTCGCTAGATGGTAAACCTCCGCCGAGGGATATGATGCCGGGTGTACCAAGATATTTTGCTGCTTCTTTGAGAGAGTTGCCTTTCCGGATCGTTGCTTCATTGGTCATTATATCTGAACATACAAGTCAATCTTGTATTCCGAGTCGAGAAGACGCTGATTGGAAAGGGTGAGAACTTACGACTCCATCGCTTGGCTTTGGGCTTGTGATCATGAGACTTGAGTCTGAAGTTTGCCGTGTCCGATGGCGCTGCCACACCCCATTGAGCCGCAGTAGTCTTCTTCCTTCTTCCAAGAATCTCATTGCTTAGAACCGGCGCGCTCAACGGGTTTGGGATAGTGACTCCAGATGTGTCCGAAACCGCGGAGACTTCGACTGCTGAAGGTGGTGACATCTTGGGCTCCGGGTTGGTTGGAGATTCCTTAGCAAATCGTATCAGGATACCTTCTTTATTTCCCCGATTCAACTTTCGACGCAACGTAGCAAGTGATAACAAGTCCGTGGATGAGTTGGAAGAAACGAGTTCGAGTAATCAAGAGTTCAAGCCTTTAAACCTCACTTGATTGAAACCCGCTATCAGCTATCGGTTATCATACGCCCTACATGTAGTCAGTCTAAGGCGTGCAGGTGGATCCCTCAGCCGCCAACGTGCATCAAGCCTACCCATTCGGGTAGCGGCTAGCCACGGTCTGGGGAAGCGCAGCAAGCGAGTCCACCAGGAACACCCGCCGAGGCCATACAGACACCTATAAAGTACAAGCCACGCGCCCGTTGCATGTACGTTCACTGCAATGCGCATTCCTTCGCGGGTAGCTTGGAGTTGAATCAACACACTTAGTCACGAACGGGTACTGTGGAATCCGCATATTGGCAGTACCGCAAGGGCCGGACAGGAATGGCGAGTTGTGAGGTAAAGCTACGTAAGATGCTGCAGACATTGGCCAATCGGCGCTTTTATGGCAACCGCGCTGTCACGAGACGCGTTCGGAGCAACAAAGCCGTCGAAACCCGTGCTGAACAGACATCTGATGCTGGAATCAGCTGCCGTTCGCTGCAGTCTGTGACAGCTGATATCGTATCCAGGGAATACTCACTGTTAGTTGAAACAATGGCTATGAACTTGCGATAGCAACATATATACATTGCAAAATACTGAACAGAAAGTCTTGAAGAGAAACAACCTGCTTGTAGTCGTCTAAGTCTTTGATTGAGTTGAGTCAAGCTCTGAGCTATGGGAAGTCATTACGATGCATTATGCCATTACCCACTTTATCTACCTCAGCTTTTTGTGAGACGCAACTCCATCTGACATGCTATAACGAAACGATGCAATAGTGTCGACCTGCCTCCACCAGATATGCTAACAAGACCTCGACGCTCAGTCCCAAGCGGCGGTATGCAAAGGACAATGCACCACAAACGCCGTATATGCACAATCCCGTATTAGAAAGATAATCGCAACGCTCTGAATGGACGGTCGAAACGACCAACGCGAGCACGTGGGAGAAAGAAAAAGAACAAATGCGAATAGGGTATAAGAGAAGTCGCAAAGAGCCAGCACAACAACATGCCTCCGTCTACATTACCACACAGTTTTCGTCCTTCTCTTTACCATCCTTCTCTTTGCTGCCCTTCTCCTTCTTGAGTTTTCCCTTCTCGGTGGCATTGTTGCTTGTTGGAACGTGCGATTGCCCGGATGCCGCAGCTTGGATGATGGCGAGGCGCTGCTTTGCCCGCTCGTCACCGGAATCTGCGGCTTTGACATACCAGACGTTTGCTTCTAGAGGATCTCTCCGGCAGCCAATGCCCATTTCCGTAAAGTATCCGCAGGCGTACTCGGCTTTTGGTAGTCCTGGTTGGATTAGCAGGGTGTACTTCGCGCTGATAACGATAAACTTACCATGCTCTGCAGCTTTCTTAGCCCATTCGTACGCCTCGTTCTCGTCCTTTTCCAGAACAGGCTCGGCACCGACCATGTACCAGGCGCAGAGGTTCATCATGGCCTCGGGAATATCGGCCTGAGCAGCGCAGTTGTAGTAGTGAACAGAAAGCGCAGCATCCTTAGGGCAGCGCAACAAGCCGTGTTCGTAGGCTTCTCCCAGCTTCAAAGCGGCCAGCGGGTGACCCAACTCGGCAGACTGTGTGAATAGCTGCACTGCGTACACCTCGTCCTTGAAAATGTCGTCCCCGAAGCCCGTCTCGTGCAGCAGACCAAGCTCATACGGCGCAATGTTGTACTGGAAGTCGGCCGACTCGGTGGCTCGCTTCAGCCATTTCAGTCCTTCTCTGTACTTGTTCTGGAGACCCATATCGCCTGTCAAACAGGCCTTTCCGAGTCGTGTCGCAGCTCCAGGATGATTCTTGGACGCAGCAGCACGGTAAAACTGAACCGCCTTAGCGTAGTCCTTGCGGCAGCCCCAGCCAAACTCGTAGCAAAGTGCGGCACGGAATCCTGATTCAGCATGGCCGTGTTTGCTAGCAGCTACAAAGAGGGGAAACGCGCGATCGTGGTCCGGCTTGTCCTTATTGAATAGACCGGACGCGTACCCATCGGCGAGGTAGTACTGCGCGAAAGGATAGCTGCGGTCGGCTAACCTTTGGAGAATCTGTCGTGCCTCCTTCAGCAACTCTGTGGGGTTCATGCCGTGATCGACACCGCTATTCTCTGTCGCCAGAACCTCGCGGGCCACTTGTATCATGAACAGCGCAAACTCGTATTGCACGGCAGTATCCTGTGTCTTCTTGACGTTTGCCCTGTACATTTCCAGCGTCTTCTTCTCGTCGAGCAAGGAGGCATTTTGCCCCACAACACCCCGTAGACCTGCATTGCCAAAATTTGTCGCAGGAGCGATTTGCTGGTTGTACGGGAGGTTGGTCAGATCAATGTAAGACGACTCCGGTCTAAAGTCGGGGGAGCGACGACTTGTTGATACGGGGCGAGCGTGAGGATTTGGTGATCCACTAGGTGATGGGGTTCCAACCACAGAGAGGCGCGGAGATTCTGTGCGACCTCGCATGTTCAGCTCCGAGCCGAGTGTGTATGCAGAGTGGGGTCTTGGAACCGTGCTGCGCGGGACTTGCAGCTCGCCCTCCTGCGCATGGCTGTTAAAATAGCTGTTGCGCCCGCTGTTATTCGACGAATGCTGGGAGCCGCCATTCGGCGATTGTGCGGTCTCGCGGGGAGGATATGTTGCAGCCGGCGGTGTTGGTTGGCTCGGGTAGGATACGGGCCGGTATTGCTCTTGGGGAGTGTATATATGGTCCGCATCGTCGTGTGCATTTGCGACGTCCATCTCTGCAACGTGCGAGAATCGACTCCCGTACGAGCCGTCGCTGATATGCAGTCGCTTGAAGGGAATGTCCTGTGCGGGTGGAATCGAGCTCCCCGAGAACCTGTGCTCAATGTCTGGTGTTTCTCTTGAGGGCGTTCTTGAGTGGCCGTCGGAGCTTTGGTTGAAAGAAGAGCCGGACTTTCTCGAGTCGCGTCCTCCTGCCGTGTCGTGGTGCTCGGTGATGCTGAAAGAGGGCGTTGAGGAGTGGCGCACGGCGGGGGGTTTGCGCTGCTGGAAACCACTTGAGCCGTTCGAGGCGGGACGATGCGCACTGTACGCTTCTTGGTCGGCTGGAATGGGTGGCAATGCCCTGGATGGTGGTGTCGAAGCGACCTGGGACATGGCTAGAAAAAGGCGAATCCCCCTTCGTTAGATCTCTGGTTGCAGTCTTATGTCCGCCTAAGTCCTGACTCGCTGGAGCGGCGGGGCTCTAAGATGGTGGTGCAGTCCTAGCGACAAAGAAATCCGCGCATGCGATAAGAGACCGTCTGCCGTGTGGATCTTCTCTACTCGCACAATCCACTGTCAGTACTTGAATTGCGGTGTGACGACGGGCTGGGATCTTGTTCGCCAACCTCGGCCTCAGGATGCGCACCCTGGGATGATGATCTACGCGACAGAAAAGGATTAGACTTACAGGAAGCGGAGTGGAGGGTTCGCAGGTTCGGCACTTGGACCCTGAACAGAATGCGAACAGGTCAACTTTCAACTGCAACTTCGCGCCAACAGTACTGCGTAGCAGGCAATGCAAGTGGGAGGTTGACGCTTTTTGAAACCCCACCCGATGCAGACCCTCTCGTATAGAATGGCGAATAGTGGCCTGGGCGGCAGAGGCCGGCTCGCTGAGGAAGCGAAAGGGTGTGTGACTACAGTTGAAACACGAGCACTATCGATCTATTCGGCAAGAACCGAAAGGGGTGCAGGTAATCGATGGCGGCTCACGGGGGAATATTGGCAAATGTGGAGGAGGTTCTGCATGTACATGGGCATGCGTCGATATTTGACTACTGGCCCCGGGCTGGGCGTTGTTTGAGACACGTACGCAGTGAGTATTAGGAAGGTGGCGTCATCAACCATCTGGTCACTCTCTAAACGTGAACGGCAGAGATTGTTCAGGTGGTCGGGCAGATATGTTGAGGCTTGACAGTACCTAGAGACTACTTATTCAAGCCACCGCTGCCTCCGAAGCTCCGTAACTATCGATTTCTATACATGTGACAAATGCTAGCTAGGTAATGAGCCGCCCATGGCAACCCGCGCGAGTGGAGCTGCCGCCCTGCAGGGCTTAGGATGGAGACATGGCAGAGTGTGGAGCTGCACCTATGCGAATAGACCCTGACTCCACGCGTTCAGAGCCGTCATTCAGCTTGACGCAAAGCACAAGGCGTCAGGTGGAAATGCACCGCCAAAGCTCAGCGCAGGTCCACTCGTACATGAGGAGAAGGATGGGGCACAGTCCTTTTTATTTCACGCAGCCTGTGCATTGCACGCGCGCGGTGTTGACATGCGGCAGTGGCGACCGCCCTCGGCGCCAATAGACATAATGGACCGGTGGGCTGAGAAGCTGAACATCCCTTACATCAAGGTCCCCGAGCACGTTGCGAAATAGGGAGCGTTTTGAGTTTATGTCTGGAGATGTTGAAAAGGAGAAGTGAGGTTAGTAGATAGGGAAATTGATAGTACGCAGGGCTCGGTAACTGCATGCAGGGGTCCCGCTCATGTAGCATGGTCCCTAGGTACAGCCTGAGGGCTCTGTGGTGTGACAGCGACATCTGTGGAGAGAGGCATGGGGAAGGGGACATCATGGAGTACTGCTGCAGAGTATCGCCGAAGAGGACACTGGAAAATGCATGCTTCGACAGCCGTAGTCTCTGATCATCACGAAGTCAGAAAATGTTCCCGTGTTTATGTATGCTCTAACGATGGCCTTGTGCTAGTGGCGGAACGAAAGCCCCAAAATAGCACCCCCCTGGCCAACTTCGCCCCCATCAGCCATCGCTCTAGCAACACCTATTGTATCGCCCGGGGTCTCGTCGGTTTTCCTCGTCGCTCGTTAGGACCGTCTTTCACTACAATACACAGCACACATTGGTTATTCCGGCACCGCACTCGCTCCTGCCATAGCCAGCCATCGCTCGTTGACAACGGAAATTACGACCCACCGCCTTTCCACGACCTCACCCACCCCAGACACGCATTGTCCCATACATGCGATCAGCAACCTCATAGAGTCGCCATACGTATTCTTCCCGGGCCGAAAAAGGTTCCGCGCTGCAGCCCCACTGTGTAACAACAGTTGAGCTCGCATCCTCACGCAAATGTCGCTACCGCAGCGACCCGAAGAGTCGTCGCCGCCACGACGGGGCGAGCGGCGCCATGCACACCGCGACTCGCACCATCGCAGGAGAAGGACGTCTGACCTGGAAAACACGCGATCGCACGACCGCACCAACAGCAAGAGCGGCACCCAATCCTATTCCCGCGCGCTTCCTTCACCCGGCACCCCCGTGCCCATGGAGCGCGATCCTATAATGCGAGGCCAACCTAATTCCTCTGGGCCAGAGCTAGGCAGGAAGCGCAGTCTCATCCGCCCCGAGCGCCAGCGAAACGACCCAAGCCACCCGAACTATCACTACCGCAAACACGCCCAGCGCATGGACGTCCACCCCTCGACGACTGGCAACGACCCTATTCTCGAAGACCATCTGGAAGCTGAAACGGTCAGCTCAGAAAGTACCGATGTCAAGCCCCCACACCTGCGAAATGCCTCAGGCGGAGGCTACAATGACAAGCAGGCCCCCTTGGACGACGGAGAGCCGCGGATACAACGCAAGTTGACACGGAGTGAGACAATGAAGGCGCGCGAGAAGCAGCGCCAGAAGGAGCAGGACAAGCTACGCCCACCTAGTCTGTGGAACGTCTACTGCGCCATCGTCACCTTCTGGTGCCCGAACGCTATCTTGAAGTGCTTCGGAAAGCCGCAGAAGGCCCAGCAGCGAGCCTGGAGAGAGAAAGTCGGACTGGTCAGCATCATCATGCTCATCTGTACATTCGTTGGATATCTCACATTCGGTTTTACGGAAACTGTCTGCCCCTCTGGCGGCAACGCTCGTCTTAGGACGAACGAAGTCGGCGGTGGATACCTTATCATTCACGGCAAAGCCTATGATCTCGCCCAGTCCAAGCACCCTCGAGCCCGTGGCGTTCCCGAAGACGCGAACGTTCTCTTTGATCTTCCTGAGAAACACGGCGGCCAGGACGCCAGCTTCTTGTTCCAGAACGTCAACGGAGCCTGCAAGGGCCTCATCACCGAAAAGGAGAACTCTGGCATCCCGACAACTGGCAACGGAGACCTGGGATGGTATTTCCCATGCCGCCTGTTCAACCAAGATGGATCGACCAAGCCCAACACCACCTTTTTGGAGTACAACGGTTATCTCTGCCACACCTCGGACAAAGCTCGCAGGGGCTTCTACAGCCTCCACAATGCCGGCGATGTTTACTACACCTGGGAGGACATCCGCAACAGTTCCAGGAACCTCATGGTCTGGGGTGGTGATGTTCTGGACCTGAACTTGCTCGACTGGTTCAACCGAACCCAGGTCAACATCCCACCTCTATTTGATGAAATCCGCCAGAATTCCGCCGTTCGCGGTGTCGATGTTACTCGTGCGTACTCGTCCAGCTACGAGAAGCAGGTAGCCCGTTGCTTCACCGAGACTATCAAAGTCGGCTCTATCGACACGGAGAGCATCGGCTGCATTGCTTCCAAAGTTGTCCTCTACGTTTCGCTCGTCTTCATTCTGGCCGTTGTCATGGCCAAGTTCGTCCTCGCTTTGATCTTCCAGTGGTTCATTAGCAAGAAGTTTGCTGCCACCAAGACATCTATCGGTCCCGCCGACTCCAAGCAGCGGAAGCAGCAGATTGAGGAATGGAGTGATGACATCTATCGCCCACCGCCAAAGCTCATGGACCCATCGTCCGGCTCTGACCGCAGCAACAAGCGTGGCAGTACCTTCTTGCCATCAACATCTAGGTTCACCAGCCCCTACTCAGTTGACAAGAACGCAAAGACTCGTGCCCCACCAACGACCATGACTAGTCAGAGCACAGCATCTCGTGTCCTCGGATCGAACGGTGGCATGTACAAGCAACTGAACGCCAGCCAGGGCACTATGCCTATGGATGGAAAACACAATGCGGTATTTACGGCACAGGAATCTCGCTCTAGTCTACTCCTCTCCGGTAACACCGATACCAATCGTTACTCTAGCGTCGAAGGTTCCGGGCCCGCAGGTTTCACACACGAAGCAGTCGTACCTCAGCCTCCTCCAGAGTGGCAGCCTTTCGGATACCCATTGGCTCACACCATCTGTCTTGTCACCGCCTACTCTGAGGGTCCCGAAGGTCTGCGGACTACACTCGACTCCATCGCCACCACCGACTACCCCAACAGCCACAAGTTGATTCTCATCATTTGTGACGGTATGATCAAGGGCCACGGAGAAGACTTGACAACGCCAGAAGTCTGTCTCGGTATGATGAAGGATCACGCCGTATTGCCCCACGAGGTTCAGGCGCACTCGTACGTCGCAGTCGCCAGTGGCTCGAAACGACACAACATGGCCAAGATCTACTCGGGTTTCTACGACTATGGCGAGACGACGCGCATTCCCGTCGAGAAGCAGCAACGTGTTCCGGTGATGCTAGTCGTAAAGTGTGGCACCCCCGATGAGGCCAAGAAGTCGAAGCCCGGCAATCGTGGAAAGCGAGACAGTCAGATCATCCTCATGTCGTTCCTGCAAAAGGTCATGTTTGACGAGCGTATGACGGAGCTCGAGTTTGAGATGTTCAACGGTATCTGGAAGATTACTGGCATTTCGCCCGATTTCTACGAGATAGTACTCATGGTTGATGCCGACACAAAGGTCTTCCCTGACAGCTTGACGCACATGATCTCAGCCATGGTCAAGGATCCAGATATCATGGGGCTCTGCGGCGAAACAAAGATTGCCAATAAGCGGGATTCATGGGTCTCCATGATCCAGGTGTTTGAGTAAGTGCATTCGCCGTGTCTGACAATCGCGCCACTAATCGTACTAGATACTTCATCTCCCACCACTTGGCAAAGTCATTCGAGTCGGTCTTTGGTGGTGTCACTTGCTTGCCAGGTTGTTTCTGCATGTACCGCATCAAGGCTCCCAAAGGTGGTCAGAACTACTGGGTCCCGATCCTTGCTAACCCTGACGTCGTCGAACACTACTCGGAGAACGTGGTCGATACGTTGCACAAGAAGAACCTGCTACTACTAGGTGAAGATCGTTATCTGTCGACACTGATGCTCAAGACGTTCCCCAAGCGGAAACAGGTTTTTGTGCCGCAGGCCGTTTGCAAAACCACTGTACCGGACGAGTTCAAAGTCTTGCTGTCACAGCGCAGACGATGGATTAATAGTACGGTCCACAACCTGATGGAGCTTGTGCTAGTGCGAGATCTGTGTGGCACCTTCTGCTTCAGCATGCAGTTCGTTGTGTTCATCGAGTTGATCGGAACCCTGGTCCTCCCGGCCGCCATTGCCTTTACCTTCTACCTAAGTAAGCCCCCGTACCCGTCTTGAAATTCTGGCTTTGCTGACCACGTCCAGTCGCTATCGCTATCAAAGCCGCCATCCTCCACACCGAAGCTCCCGTCATACCCCTCATCCTGCTAGCGCTCATTCTTGGTTTACCCGCGGTCCTCATCATTGTAACGGCCCATCGATGGTCCTACGTCGCCTGGATGTTCGTCTATCTGCTGTCACTGCCTGTTTGGAATTTTGTGCTTCCGACGTATGCCTTCTGGAAGTTTGACGACTTCAGTTGGGGAGATACTCGAAAGACGGCGGGCGAAAAGACGAAGAAGGCGGGCCTGGAGTATGAAGGAGAGTTCGACAGCAGCAAAATCACGATGCGCAGGTGGCATGACTTTGAAGCAGGTAAGGAACACAACTTCTCGCGATAATGCAGTCACTGACGTTGGGCACCAACAGAACGAAGACTCAAGACACCAGCGGCGACATCGGCTGGTGGGTGGCCACCGCAGCAACAGCAGCAGCAGGGATACGATCAGTACTATGATAATTGATTTCGCAATGAGGCGTCGCGTAGGAGGGGACTGCATATGTACTACATGATTTGCTGCATTTCTGGGGTGTTCGTTTTAGCAGGCCATTTCTGTCATCGTTATGAGATCGTAGAATTTCCACTTCGCCGTCGGGTCACGTAGGCACCTCGCACTAGTAATACATTCTTACGGCATGTCGTCAGCTCTCGCGAGACACGGCATACCGATGCTGAAATACCACTTTGATGAATGACGTCGCATCAGTGTTCCTGTGCTGTTTTGCAGTCTCAAGATCCGCCCTGTGCGCCCCGCACCCCCACTGGGTGGTTCGAGTCTCACTGGAGCGATGTGTGGCTTGCTGTCGTGGAGTGCCAGCACCGTTGTCCACAGGCAGAACGGCGAGGGGAGACAAAAACGGCGTATGAGCCACAGTCTGGGGAGGCGCGCGGTGGGAACAGACGTCTGATTTGCTCCACGAAATAGCCGTGCAACCGTGGGCCGGCGCACAGCACGTCACCCAAAACATCAGCTTAGCGAAGCTGGTGTGCTGTCTGTGTCCCAAAAGAGGCCTGGCAAGAGCAGATATGGGCCTGGGTGTGTAATGGTGAGTGGCCACTGCATTCTCGTTGCCGGGCCTTGGCTCCAGAAGGTTGTCGTGTTGGCAGTGCCATGTGAGTTGTATCACGGTCCGTGGACACGCCGCAGCCGCCTAACTCTGAGCGCCTAGTGACAGCGTGGAGACGAGCAGCGTGAATACACAATCTAACGCCTGGAGATCTGAGAGATGGTGGAGTCGCTAGTCAGGCTTGGGGGTGGGCTGTCCGATCCCCCGTGTTCAGACTAAACTAGAGGGCCCGCGGAGGAGGGCTGGATGCGAATATTCGACGAAGTGGAGGGCGGCATATATATCTGACGGCATTGGAGCTTCAGAAGCCGTCCTGACGCGCATAGCCATATTCATGACCGTCACCCTGCCCTGCCCTGCCCTGCCCTGCAGCCCAACCCAATTCTCCCGCAGCCAATACCCGACTGTGACTTCGCAGAAGCAACCCCACAATTAGCCTGGACGTACCTCTGTCGCATGCAGCGCCTGTATAGCCAGGTCGAGCGTCGAACGCGACCCAGTCAGCCTGCGAAGCGAAGAGCCTAGCCAGTCAGCCCCTAGGCCCTGGGACTTAACTGCTGCATTCTGCCTGTCTCGCTGCGCCGAGCCTATGCTTCGGCCTAGTCGCCTCCCCCACGCCAGACAAGCCTATACCTTGCGCCCCAACGCCTCTCTACATCTACACCAGCCGACCATCTCGTCGCATACGCAACTACCCCAAGAAACTGCCTCGGCGGCCCCGCTGCACTGGCTATCAGGCGGATAGCGGGCGTCGATAGCCAGCATGCACGACTGGACCGCGCCACACTCCACCACACATCCCACAACGCCGCCGCACGCCAACCCAGCCCATGGAGACTGGCCGCACTCACCCAACGCACTGGCTGCTGCTGTGACGCTAGCGACTCTCTCCGACAACAGACCACCCGGTGACGACGAGGACGACATCGACGACGATGACGATGGTGGGGGGATATCGCTAGAGGACTACCAGCATTACATGGAAGCCATGCCCGAATCGCATCAAGCAGGAGCAAACAGCGACGATGAGGACCCCTCGCTGGATGAGGGAGGAACAATAGAAGACATGTTTGGCTTCGGGCCAGTCCATCCATCCTATGTCACATACACCGCTCTCGACATGTTCCCGGGATCCAGCATACCTCAGCACCATACGTCCACTACACACTTCATTGCGCCGGTCACCATAGTAGGCAACCTGCCATACGGTACTGACCTGTTACTTGAGCCACCGCCAACACTCAACGAACCGCATCTGAGTATACAGGACCGGGCGGCCTTTTGTCCCATCACGTCTTACTTCCACCGCTTTTACGGGCAGTGGAAGCCTGGTGTTGTGCCTGGTTTGGATCTCGTTCAGGTGCCGGAATTCATTACCCGAGAGGATCTCAAGGGTGATGAGTATGATTACCAGGGTATTGATTGGACCGCCCGGAAGACTACTAGGGCTGCGGTACGGAGAGCAAGGTCGCAACATGAGCGCCAGAGGGTGCCTCATAGTGTGAAGCAGGTTCGCAAGGTAAGCATAGTAGGAGGAAGTGGTTTCTTACTCCAAGTATACCACATCCTGGGAGTATACATATTTTGTTCCATCATCGTTTGTGAAGAACACGGTAGATCCTTCCAGGGTGTGGTATAGCTGGAGGAGAAACGAGCTTCTTTATGTCTGATGAGCTCCCTAGCTAACTCATCTCAGCACGTTCGTTCAACACCCAACACAGAAAGCTTCTTCCAATTCCGAAGGATCAACACCAGCCCCCGTGCTTTCGTTCCTCACTTCCAGCTGCGAAATGTTCTGACAGCCACGTCCCGCAATGACGTCTATTACGCAAAAGGTCATCAAGTACTTCACACAGACGCTGAAGGTACATCCGAAGATGCCGTCGTAGACCTCAGCAAGCACCTGGCTCTCGATGCATCGATCACCACTATCGCTTCCCAAGGCGACGTACTCATCGCTGGTGCTTTCGAGGGCGAGTACGCCATCACCGACCTCTCCTCCACGCACGGCTCGCCCTGTACATTCGGCCGCACCACCGACTTTGCGACTGACACAAAGTCGCGCATAGTAAACCACATGCACCTCTTCCCCTCACGGCGAACCTACACCCCCCAAGCCGTCCTCTGTTCCAATGACCACCGGCTCCGCGTGCTCGACTGCGGTACTAACAGCTTCATCCACTCGTTCCTCTACCCCGCAGCCGTCAATTGTTCAGCCACCAGTCCAAACGGGCGCATGCGCGTAGTCGTCGGCGACTTCCAAGAAACACTCATCACAAACGCCGAAACAGGTCAACCCTTCGAAACACTCAACTCGCACACCGACGACGCCTTCGCCTGTGCTTGGGCAGACGACGGCATCCACGTCGCCACCGCCGCCCAGGACTCCACCATCGTCGTCTGGGACGCGCGGTACTGGGAAAAGCCTCTCGCAGTTATGAAGAGCGAACTCAGCGTCCCTAGATCTTTACACTTCTCCCCCATCGGCTCTGGCCCCCGTGTCCTCGTTGCCACCGAAGCAGACGACTTCATCAACATCATCAACGCACAGACGTGGGAATCGAAACAGACTTTTGATTTCTTTGGCCCAGCAGGTGGTGTGTCGTTCACGCCTGATGGCCAGTCTCTCTTCGTTGCGAATGGAGAAAGAAGGTTCGGCGGTATCATCGAACTTGAACGCACGGGCTGGGCGGATAAGACGGGGAGGAGGGGTAGTTTTGACGACGAGACGCGCGATGAGATTGTTGTGGATTGGGCGGGTGAAGAGGCGCTGGACAACGATGGGAGGGTTCTAGCAGGGGATGTGGCTAGAAGGAGAAGGCATGTGGACTTGAGTGATGTTATCGTATAATGTCGCTTTGTAGATGTGAACCAGCTATTTGGTATCTTCGGCGGGAAAGAATTTTTTGGCGTTTTTCTTTATGCAAAGATGGATGGGCTGGGAAGATACCACGGGATTGGGCGGTCATGGATTGGTATTTAAGCTAGCATCGTAATCATCACCAGCATCTTACACTCGTGTTGGCCATCTGTAGTAGTTTAACTTTCTCCATGAGAACATGACGACGGACTTGTGAGTTCGAGAACTGCACAATTGCTTGCTTGATCAATGTGGTATCATTATTCTTTTTTTGTTTGCTAGCTAAAAGTCCTCCAAGATATACATGCTCAGTTGCATCATCGGCCGATATTCCCTCTTGCCTGCCTAGCAAATCCCGTTCTCTCGTAATCGCCGCAACGCCTTGGAATTCGATTTTGCTGACTGACCCACATAACGCCATCAAATGCATTGTTTGCGTTTCGTCCTTCTATCAACGAGAAGCTTAGACGAGCAAAACAGCGTTCAAGCAACCGTCGTTTTCGGGGTTGTTGGTGATCTGTGCATACCGACCCCAAACGACCTTTCCTCCAGCAGTCACGAGACCGAGTTCGGACACGTTAACTTCGATGATCGTACCCTTTGTTAGGACACCCAGCTGGGTGTACATGGGTTGTTGGGGGTTCTTCTTTACGGAGATGATGGGCAGTTGAACCGTGACGTTCAGCTCAGGATGCGTCACGTTGGCCTTCTTGTAACGCAGACCCATGGGGCGGATGAAGCGCTCGTACTTTACGGGACGACGCGTGAATCCTGGACCGACGAATGTGGGCTTGGTGATCATACGCTTCCAGCTCTTCTTCTTGGTCTTCTTTCCTGTCTTGACGACCGAGAACATCTCTTCCTCGGAAATACCCTTGACTTTCGGTAGGGGGACGGAGAAACGTGCTGCCTTTTCGTTGCGCTTCTGTTTGATTGCTGAGGACAAGGCTTTGGCGTTCTTCTCGTTGCTACGGTCTAGGAGATAGGCGGGGAGGGCGTCGGTGGCTGGCTCGGGTGCTTCGTTGGATTTGACGTCTAAAAGGTACAAGGTCAGCGTATGTCTCATGTTTTACAGTACAAGGACACTTACTCCTCTCCTCGTGTGCGCGGATCTTCTGCTTCATCTGAATCTTCTCCTTGCGACGCTTCTCAGCGTACAGCTTGGCTCTCAGACCACGGAAGTTTTGCGCCTTCTTCGAAGCATTGTGCCCTTCACGGGCAATCTTCTTCCGTTGACGCTCATCGTGATCGAAGCGCTTTCCGTGCCTGTTGTGATAGAGTTAGTTATGTGTTCTTGGTGTTGAGGCGCAAAGCGCAAATCGCGAGACGCAGGATTGGTGCCGAGGTAGGCGATGCGGGGTGCGAGATGCAAGATCGGTGTAGACGTACTGCTTCGTAAAGCGCTCGATATACTCGTTCTGAGGCATGGCGACTACCTCTGTGTATGCTGTAAGGGTGGTGGTAGTGGAGTGGAGTCTCTTCCACCAGCCGCCTTGCCTCCAAAAAGTTCGGCACTAGCCCCCACTAGCGCGATGCGGGATTCTTCAACATCGGACTCCCGCAACACCAAAGATGCGTTCTTCAGCAGCTACCCCAGCCATTGCATCCCACATAACCTAGTAATGGCTCTATTCGCTCGCTCCGCACGCCATGCGCTTTTCGAATCCAGAGCGATCATCCAACCGACGTTCCGCCGCGCAGGCATAACAACCGTATCGCACAACCTCGACACATCGAATACGCCCGAACCGCTCATCCAATCCGGCCACCGCATATCAGACGAAGCCAAAGAGCGCGCTCAAACACCACAGCCTCTCCCCAAAGACGCCCCAGCCCCCGCTTCCACAAATGACATCAAAGCCTCACCAAACGCCCGCTCAGACATCCTCTCGCAGACCCTCACACCCTCCATCCGCAAGCTCCTTCCTCTCCTACAATCGCAGCCAGCACACTACATAACCGCACATCTACATGGCCGCCCATATCTTCTCACCCGCGGAGATACGCTTCGCCTCCCCTTCCAAATGCCACATGTACGACCAGGCGATGTTCTGCGTCTAAACCGCGCTACACACATTGGATCGCGGGACTACACGTTAAAAGCACCAGAGCCTGTAAAGGGAAACGCAGATCATGGGAAGAAGGTGTTTTACCTCGACGAGCGGTTATTCACATGCAGGGCCCGGGTTGTGGGTGTGGAAACTGAGCCGTTGAGGGTAGAGGAGAAGACCAAAAGGAGACGGAGACATGTTAAGCATGTTAAGAGCAAAATGTACTTCACAGTCTTGAAGATTAGTGATTTGGAAGTTAAGAGCTTGGAGGAGTATGAGGCGGTATTGGGGCAAGACGGCAAGGAGAGTGTACAATAGTGGTGGCATCGAGGCGGGATTGACAATGTCTCGTTATGAGTGTTTGAATGTATCATATGTACCGATATCACGAGCATGTCAGCCTCAGGACTGTTACGTGAATGCACTGTATCAGGAATGGGACTAAGATCTCAAGCTCTTATGCTTGTATTCATGTCGAAGTGTACATTGGGTATATGCGATCCCGGACGCCGTTTATGCTTTACCTACTCATCATCGCTGCGTAATATCGATCCGAGACTAGTGCACCACCTGCGCTGCATAGAAGTCGGGATATTGGTTCTGGATCATCGAAGTGACCTTCTCCACCTCCTCTGCCAGGCCTGTGACGTTGGCATCCCACTTTCGTAGCTCCTTGCCGACAACGCGCTCTGCGTGTCCTGTCTTGCGCTCACCACTGGCCTCGCCCTCGAAGAAAACGTATCGGTCGATCTGGTCGATGTATCCGGCAAGCCGACCTTGCTCCAACATCTTTGCCGCGTAGTCCTCTGCCTTCTCAGCGTCGATGCCCAATAGCTCGCCTAACTGATCAAATCCAATATTGTTGTAGAGCTTCGATGCACCAAGCAAGTTATGTTCCAGAATAGCCTTGTCCAGCACAGTCAAGCCATCAGCGGCCCGGGCGAGATGGTGAGGTTCGAGCTTAGCGGAGAAGGCGTTGATCTCAGCAGGAGTGAGGAGACGGTTCAAGAAGATCTTCTCGAGGATGGCATAGTCGTCGGCGGAACTGGCTCGGTCATCCTTGTACAACTTGGCCAACATCTTACCACGCTGCGGACCAGCAGGAGCGAGGACTGCACAGATGATTGCTTTCCCGAGGAAGTTGTCGCGCTCTTCAGAGTCCACGACCGGCTCGTTGCTTAAGGTGTAGTACCCCTGCGCGGCATCGAGGAAAGACCGTTGCGAGTCGAGGATGCGGGCTTGGCTCAATTGGAACATAACCTTGGTTGCCTTGTCTTGCACGTTGAATATGATGTTCTTGATCTTGTTCAGATGTGTGAAGGCGCTTGTCGGATCGTCTTCCTCCAGGTAACACCGCACTATCCGGATCCAGACCTGCGCCTTGTCATCCGCGGAGACAGACTTTTGTGTTGACTCGAGGTTTATGGTTGCGAGTGTCTGCGCTGACCGTCTGAAGTCCTCGTTCTGCTCGAACGCATCCGCCAGAGCATGCTTGATCTGCGTGTCTTGCTCCTCATACTGGCCCGCGCCCTTGGACTGTAGTAGTGTTATGACCTTCTCTCCGACTTCAATCCTGGCGTCTGGGTCCTTGACCGTCCGGAACGCGTCTACGAAAGCAGCGAGGAGTGGTCGCAGTACAACTATGCCGAGTGAGTCATCGAGAAGGGTTTGTGCGTATGCGTTTAGATCGGCGGCGACATTGTTCGATGATTCGATGATCTGCTGGAGGAGGGCAGTGTACTGAGACGGCTTTTCGCTGGCCGGTGCCGCCTCAATCTGCTGTAGGGCCGAGGTGACAGCTTGTGAAGTCATTGTGGGAGGTTGGATGAGCTGAATTGATTGAGAAGGCTTTTTAGGCTTGGCCTGAGCAGGTCTGAGAGAATGGACGCCGAGGTCAAGAGGATAACTCCGTAGCTGCAAACGAGGTTCGGTCGTGCTGTTGGTTGTTGATAGGCAGCAGACGTGGGGCAAGCGCGACCTCTCCGAGCTGCATTATCGATAAGGGCTTGGCACGCTAGTGCGGAAGCGCGTCGCGGAAGAGCGCGCCCCAGTCAGTCGATCTTTCATCATCACCACCAACGCATCCCAGGCAGCAACACACCTTCGCTACCATGAACGGCATCAAGGCAGAACCCAGCATCAAGGCGGAAGGCGACATAGGTTTCATGGACGATGACTTCTACGAGGACACCGGCGAGATGAGCATAAACAAGGACAATCCTGAGCAGGATGTCTGGCTCACGCGCATTCCGGACTGGCTCTACGAGGCAGTGTCCAAATGGGAAAACGTTGCCGACGGGAACGACAATGATCAGATTCAGATTGGGGAAGTCCTCGCGTTTGCGACCACGAGCGGCATCGACAAGGACAAGCCTATGCGGGTCTTCCTCGACGATCGTTGGCGCGCAAAGTCCAACTTGCCTTCTGCCTTCCAGCTCGATCCTGCAGCCGCTTCCGAAGCGCAACTGGGCAACACATACATCTTTACAGAGAAGGATCTGCCAGGGTTCAAGGGACAAGGCTTTGGCTATGGGAGAGGGCATGGAGGCTTTGGTGGTGGTGTGCAAGATCCGAATGCGCGCGTCCAGAAGCGGAGCAAGTACAAGAAGGCGATCCCCAAACAGACTGCCCTCGTCGGCCACGCGACAAGGCAATACAATGCGAACCCTCTCGAAACTAAGGAGTTCAAGGACTTCAGCGCCGCGCGCATCAAGCAAGCCATTCAAGGCTCCTACACCACCACCATTATCACGAAAGACACCGAAGTGTCCGACGTCAACAACTCCATCACCCTCAATAACCGCTTCAAGAACTTCATCAAGCCTACGACCAAGGCCAAGTCACAACAGAACAAGGCGGCTCGTATGGCTCGCTCCGACCTCATCGACGTGCTGCATCAGCTGTTCGACGAATACCAGTACTGGCCGATGAAAGCTATCAAGCAGCGCACAAAACAACCAGAACAGTATCTCAAGGAGGTGCTTGGCGACATTGCGCTGCTTGTCAAGTCTGGGCCCTTTGCGAGCAACTGGAAGCGGCAGGCCGTCTTCGACAACCAACGCGATACTAGTAAGCAAGCAGAGGCAGCTGCGCCAGAGGGTCCGGGTGATGGCGATTCAGAGGGCGAGGACGAGATGGAGGATGTAGTCTAGAAGACTGTGGTAGGATGGGGTGATTGATCAAATTGTTGCGTTGGCGATACCCAGTCCGTGAAGAAACATACACGGCGCCATAAGGAGGAGCTTTATCGTTGTAAGGGTTCTCATAATTGCATGCTACCATTAGAATAGACACTATTAATGTGTTAGAGTGTGTCAATGTAAAACAGCGTATATGATCAGAGTGTGATGTAGCATCAACGGGTCGTCGTAGCAATGACGCGATCTTAGCGACCAACATCCATGACTCGAGCGGACCTGGCCGACCCGCTCATTTCACAATCTCATGGTCACTCCGATTCCGACTTCTGACCCCATCACATCTTAACCTGTATATATTGTGCGCGTCTTGATACGCTTTTTTGATCCTTTACACACGCCCGTGCTTCCAATTGTTCGCACCTGAGAAGTGGCGAAAAACCTTTGCATGACCATCGTCTTACTGGAACTGAATAACTGGACAGTGTGATGACACCCCAACACCATGAGCAAGGCCACTGGTTGGACAAATACGCAACAAACTATGCCGAGTGGAAGCTATCAGACAATGCAGATGGCACCTGGTTGTTCAAGCGTCCGCTTGGGCTAGTCGAGACTTCTTTTGACTCGGATGGCGCATATTACGGTGGTCGGGCAGGTATGTAGTATCTCTCACAATGATGCACGCTCATTTCTCAATGGCCCAAAGAAATGTCTACTCGTCACTTCAAATGTCGTTGGAACGCAACTAATCATGCCGTAGACATGACCGCCCTCTTCACATTGGCAATCCAACACAAGTTCTTCAAAACAGAGCTGAGGCGCAGGATAGTGCTTGCCTGGACTTCTCTTCGCCTCCAGCACCCACTACTCCTGGCTCGAGTGAACGACGACCAGGAAACAGGAAGGCGAGGTTTCGCCGTCGATGTACCCGATTCCCAAGATTCTGCTATTCAAGATGTCGAGAAGAGCATTGTTTGGATCGAAGAATCATACGAGGAAGTTAACGACAAGGAGTTGTACCACCACGCCTACAACGTAACCCGCATCATCGAACCCACAAAATGTCTATCGAAATTGCATGTTTTACCTCTGCGACAGCTCCCAGACGGAACATATGAGCTGCGCTTCCTCATCGTGATTGCGCATCAGATATCCGATGGTCTCTCGGCGTACAGTTGGTTCAGCCATTTCATCCGCATCCTCAACCAGCCATCTCAGGACATCTTAACAGACATCGAGTCCCTCCGTATGCCAGAAAAGATCAAAATAGTCCTACCAGCCGCTCAAGAAGATCTGTACCCACCAATCGCAGGCAACAAAGCGAGACAGCGCTGGTTCTGGGCGCTGATCAGGGTGCTGAGACACGTGAAGAAAGGAGGACTACCACCTACCTTTACAAATCCACTGCGGAGAGAGAAGAGGCTAGAAGAGCCTGTACCACTCGAGCCCAAGTTCGCTGAGATCTTCGACTACAGTCCCTCAAGCCGCCCTCCAATGTCCTGCGGCCATGTTGCCGCATCGCTCTCGCCTGCGGCCTCAGCACGTCTGATATCCCTATGCCGCTCTGCAAACGTCAGCATAGGAGCTGGCTGTTTCGCTCTCGCTGGTCTAGCAATGATGGCCATCCACGAAAAGCATTCTCCATCAACCAACCACCCTCCCTTCACAGCATCCTTCCCCCTAAACCCCCGCGCCTTCTTCGTAAACCCACCACCACCAGACTCATGCATGCTCGCCTTTAGCGAGGGCATAGTAATGCCCTTCTTATCCTCCGACCTACCCGTAGAAGGACGCTTCAGGCTAGTAGCAAAGCACGCGAACCGCGAGTTGAGAGTCTACCAAAAACGTCTCAAGGGAAAAGGAAAGACGAGTACAGCAGGTATACTAGACAAAGGTTCACCAGGCCGGCTCCTCGCAACAGGCTACATCGCGCAAATCGAACGCGTCGAAGCAAAACTCCCGCCCTCGCGTCGTTCACCTTCATTCCAAAACCCTCAAGGTTCTTTGGCACCCAGTACAGCAGGTTTCGGAGCGACATGTGGCGTCTCGTCCATCGGCCCTCTAGCTGCGTTCTTCAAGCGCGGCACATACGATGTTCAGAATCTGGGGGAGAAGGACTTCGCCGCGGACTTCCGCGATGTGAAGATTGGGGTTAGAGCGAGGGAGAATGAGTTTTTGGTTGGCAGCTCGACTAGTGCGGAGGGTATTGTAGGGTTTGGTGTTAGCTATGATCTTAATGCTATTAGTGCTGAGGCCGCGGAGGTGTGGAGGGAGACTATTGAGGGTTTGTTGGAGGGGAGGGGGGTGGCAAGGCTGTAGATGAAGGACCACCGCAGTTTCATTATATGTTGGCGCATCTGCTGCTGCGTTTAATCCCCATATTGTTCAGGATGCCGCAAAAGTTCTGCTAGCTAGAGCTCGTACCAAGCTTTGACATCCTGGTAGAAGGTAGAATCTACAGCGCCAAGCCCAATCTTGTCATCCCACTCCTTCAACCAATCTGTCTCCACCCAGTCTTTCCTCTCAACAAACATGGTGTCAGGATCCCATAAACTACCTACAGGTCCCATGAATCTTATGTTCGATGTGTCGTTTTTTATACTGCGAACCGTTTCAGGGAAATCTGCTGGCAAGTGCCACGGCAATGGGAACCTGTCGTATGTGCGGGGATCTTGGAGCCAGGTCGTAGGTTGCACGCCATTGAGTTGCGCTTGCATCAACATAGCTTCCTGTATAGCTGCAGCATACTTGATGAGCTCAAAAGAATGGATCGCTTCCTTCGTACTTCCGTCTATGATGAGTTGAAACGCGTTGGGGGGCATGTCATATGTGGATAGCGACAGAGTCTCCTTGATCCACGGAATGAAAGGAAAGACGAAGCTAGAACCCAGTATGTATGGATTCATACTGCCTAGGTAGTATCCTTGCGGAAGCACGTTGCTCAAGAGCGCAATATGACGTTCAACGCGAAGAGCCGGGTTGCTATTGCAGAACGGTATCAGTCCTCGCACATGACAGGCAGGACCAAGCAGAGACATGCGATCTTCTTTCAAGACGAGTTTGCGAAGATTGCACCACTGCTTTGGCGGAAGTCCGTGTACTGATGAACGAGTTAGCAAAGCTGTTGCACAAGATCACTTGTACGGCTCGAAGTTGCAACTTCACACACGCAACGTCCAAGCAAATACGTCGTGAGCAGCCTATTTAACAGAGGTAAGCTTTCTATGTCAGGTATGAGAGTTGTATGCGACTGAAATACCAGCGAATGTATGGATCGCAGTAGGAAAAGAATTGCTTACAGTAATCATTCGCTACAGCTGCAGCAGAGAAGTAGCACCTCGTGTTCCTCATAAATTGGTGGTCGAGGTCAGAACACATGGGTTGAGGTGGCTCGCAAGGTGGAACCTGAATCTGACAGAGCAGAGCTTCCAACCGCGATATGTACTCCTCTCCCAGTATCCGCCATGAGTCAGATGTCCATGAAAGTACTTCACTCAGCGATCCGTCGTAGAAGAGATTGTGCTGGTCATGGTCTCCCACGGAATTCCCGATGGGACACAGTCCTTTGCCGAAAACTCTGCTCGTCAGCCGCGCAAACTTCTCAAGATTGCGACTTTTTGCGCCGACTAGGGCAAACAGTAGAGCGTCGATACATGCTTGGTAGAGGGCATCATCCCCCCGAATACGAGTCATCGAAAGTCTCAGAAGGTCATTTTGCTAAGCAACTGCTTGTGGTAGTTCGTCACTAAGGAATATACCCATTTCTGGATAACGCGCCTCGATGTCGGCAAAATCTGAGGCTTTCAACAATTCAGCGACACAGACTAACATACGTTGCCTCTACGTTTGAATCATCTTCATCACTAGATGACGGTACTCTATTAGCAAGACTTCCAGATGGTGATAGTGGCCGTCCAACTTACTGTAGTGGAGTCGAGCCGCCTTTGAGCGTAGCCCCATGAATTCCGGAATGTCGTACGCAGAGCACCGTGTACTAAACTCGGCTTTCTGGAAAGCGACTTGTTTCATCTCTTCGGCGGCGATCTTACAAGTCACCATCAGCCCGAGATTCTCTGTTCGCGCACACTCATCTATATAGTGCAACTGATTCGTCTCCTTGTTGTAGTCGTACGATCGCCTGGCATCTGCATAGCGTTCGTAGATTTCGTCGCGAAGTTCTCGAGGTATGTGGAATAGTGGAGATTGTAACTGCGTCGAGTAGGTGTTCTCTGCTCCGGTCGTAGGCATCCATGGAGATTCAATTCACTGGGTAGAGCTGCTTGTCGACATATTTGAGGATGCAGGTAGCATACAGGGCATGAGTGATGATTGTAGTAGGGCGGCCTCAATAAATCTTATATAGCTTGATGTGACTCTTCCTCTCCTGGGATTTTGTGGATGATTACATTCGATATACTCACTAGTGGTTCGCGCTGGTTGGGAGAACCAGGAACGCAATAGAGGTGACTCACCTGCAGGACTGCATCCGGCCATGAAAAGACCAACAAGACTCACCGGGTAACATTATAAGTTGAACCAATACCATCTGTTGTGAAGCCATAGAGGCGCAAGGATGGTAGGCCAGTAGCAGGTGTGGTAATGGCGAACCGGTCTTTCTGTGAACCTTGGAAGCTATGAAACTTCAACTCATACTTTTCGAACAGTGTGCATCATAGTAACGCAAGAGAGATACACCTTTGCGATCAGCGAGGCATGTTCTCTGGCTTCGTAGATGGATGTTAGATGCATGGGCAACATCCGCGCAGGAATATTGACATTGGTTAGCGCACGCCAGGATTGATGATATAATGCGTAGCTAACAAGGGTTGTCGCGAAAGTCATTTGCGCCACGATATTGTGCAGATTCATCCTCATATCTATCGCATATCTATGAATCTACTTTTATTTCATCCGATTTGTCGAGTCATAGATCAAGATATGTGTCTCTTGAGTAAATTGTTACTTGGCCCCAGTCGCTCAGGCACTACGAGTATCGCAAATACTCGATGTCTAACTTCCCTAGGTAGTTTCCCCACCTCCTCTCCGCGGTTTCCAGCGAACCGCCTTACTCTTAGGAATAACAACGCCTGGCAAACACATATGTATCCGTCGGATCAGATCCCCGTTCCATCTACTATGGCCATCCCATACTTCAATGAATTCCAAGCCCTTGAAACGGGCGAGATTGTTCTCTATCCCTAGGACTATACTTCCCCGACATGTCTTGAGTTGCATCCTTTCAATGACCTGTAGTTGCTTCTGGCCGACATGATCAAGCAGCTTCCATGAATTGAAATGTCCTATCTAACCCTTCATAGTAAAGACATTGAGAGTGTAAGGCAGCATAACGATCCCTGCGTGGATCTGCGAGTAGCTTCGAAGAAGGGCAAGGGGATCTTGCTTGATCCCGGCTCAATCTCTCTTCGCTATTGCTATCACCTCTATCCTTTCGATACGCAATACATACTCGTATATGATGTCACGAAGCTCTGGTGGCAGAAGGAGAAGAGGAGAGTTTGCCTGGTTCAATTGAGTTCTGTCAGATTGTAAGTAAGATATAGCGGAAGTGTGAACTCTTGAACTTACCGACGCACTCTCTCCGCATGCGAAGTGCTTGGTCGGTCCATGTCATGAAGTCCTCCTGAAAGCTCCATGGAAGCTTCTTGGCAGTTGATTTCCTTAGTTGAATCTATTAGCATAGTGGTCGACGATCAAGGTATAGGCGCGTATTTGCGGAAGGTAAAAGGGTAGAAGATTGGCATATTAACACGCAAAAGAAACATTTGGCCTACACGTGCAATGCCACCAATTCACCCGACATCCTAATCTATTAGAATACACGGGGTGATATCGTGATTGCTGCAGTGAGGCTCACCTCAACGAACGCAGCCAAAACGATTGGCCTGTCTCCCTAACCAGTGCTACATTCACTTGAGGTCCTCGAGTGAATGTGGCTACGCAAAAATCACCTTAATATCACACTTCTGGCCCCTCGCCGCCGCAACTTTCGCTTCTTTCACACGAGCGAACTCCTTGCTGCTGGCCCATAGGCCCCTAAGCTCTCCCAGATACAGCTTTTTTAACCCCTTGCATCTGCGCAGGGTCACAAGCACCCTCTCCAAACCGTAACTTCCACTCGGAAACGTGCCCCAACTTACATCAACCATGATCTTTCGCAACGCGCTGGTGGATGTTGAAATGACTCAAACCTCCTATCAGTACTACTGCAATCTTATGGAAGAGGATCCGCGGAGCGTAGTACGACTGGTGGTTCCTGATTTACTGACAACATTTCCTAACCTACGTAAGATCGTGATTGCGTGTTCGTATCATGCGAATGGGATTCAGGGAAAACATAGTTTTAATACTCAAGTTTCGTGGGCGCCGTTTCACGAAGAGGGAGTCGAAGTTGCGTTCCGTGAGTAGGACCTACTTGGTAGAGACTGTGAGGGCAGGACTCGATAGTTTCATGTTAAAACACTGAAGATATCACTGTAAATCTTTGGTTGATGCAGGAGATCGAAGGCGGAACGATTGGGAAAGATATGACAGCTAAGGACTTCTCTTAAGTCCTCATATACTTGCCCTTCCACTTACGTCCAAGTCCGCCCAGAGTATCTCCGTCTCTTCACTTCGTCCATGGCAGACCCAGCTTCTTCATCTCCACTGCCAGCTGAAGAATATAATCGATACTCTCGCACTGCGTCTTCGCCTTGTGTACGTTATCTCCCCACACGTAGATGCCGTGTCTCTTGACAAGAATCGCGTACGAATCGGGGTATTTCTCCATCGCCTCCTCCAAGCTCTCCCTCAAATCCTCCTCGTGCGCGGTGTTCTCGATTATGGGTATACGTAGACGGTCATAGTAACCTAGGTTACCCTGCTTCCCTCTTCCTTTCGGTATGCCCTTGATCTGTTCAATCTCTTCGATCTCAAAGCATGCGTCTTTTCCGAAATCGCGCTCAACGAGGAGGGTCACGAGGACGGCCCATTGCGAGTGTGTGTGGATGCAGCAGCCAGCGCCGCGTTCGAAGGCCGCAAGGAAGAGAGGCGTGCACGCTGAGGGTTTGAGGACCTAGCACTGTCTTAGCTTGTTTCCCATGGTCCGGCATCGCGCGATATACCTGTGGTCTCCTCAAGTACTCCTTGCTGTTGAAGTCCATAACAAACATATCGGTAGGCTTCATGAGCTCTTTCTGTACGCCGCTGGGCGCAATGTAAATCTTGTCTTCATGGCGTATGCTTGTTCCTCCGCCAGTGCCCGTCACCTGGCGGAATCTCCGTGTTAGCCATCACTCGATCGTGTCTTCGTCCGCGTCCTCCCGACGCCTGGAGATCATCGTACCCAGCCCAAGCTGTAAAACTTTGCGCAGAGCGTGCAGATGTGATTCGCGGGGTGACTTGGGTCATCGGAGCGCACGAGGGCCTCGGCATCATGTTCGTTGGAACTCATTGTGATGTTGCGCAAAGGTGTCGTCGAGGTGTGAAGTTTGGTGGATTTTCTGGAGCCCAATGACGCGACTTGCGATCGCGACTACCCCACGTGGTCCGCGCTAGTGTTCATCCCACCATAGTCAGGCACAATGCAGACATCAATCTAGGAAGATCATACAAAACTTAGGGACATGGTTGAAAGAGTGTCTGTGTCTATTAATTACCAAATGGAAAATAAGGCTGTCTCATAGTCAGAGACCATAGCCTGAGGTATCATCGATGTCCAACGCTCATACCACTACCAGTCCTCCAGGAAAGTCGCTTGACTTGGGTATCATATCTAGTTTGTAGTCGTATTCTGCGCCAAAGGAGAAGGCTCATGCTCCTTCTTCTTGTCCAAATGAAGTACTTCCTTGACCTTGTCGCCCAATCCCTTGCGATCAGGTGATTGGCTGTGGCCGCCGTGCTTCTCCTTGTAGACGTTTCCGGCTCCACCTCGCTGTAGTCGTGTCAGTCGAACTCGGAATAACTCATATTATACGACGTACGCCGGTGTGGAACTCTTCCTGCGCGTTACGCTGGTTGATCTCAGGAACCATGTCTACTGAGCGACGACCTTCGTCAGACTGCGGCCCAACGCGAGGCGACTTTCCAATGTTGCCAGCTCCCCCACGGCCAGTGGAGAACTCTCCATCGAGAGATTCGCCTTGCACGCCTTCGCGAACCATGCCTCCATCAGTGTAGACATTGGTATCGGGACCAATGTTGCCGGCGCCTGCATCAGCGATTAGCTTTTCCTGTTGCATATTGGAGTATCTTGTAAAGTGTACCTCCACGGCCAGTTGAGTGAATCGGGGTAGTAGTCATTCTGATGGTTTAGCTTTCGCAATTATTGGGGAAACAAATGTCGTCTTGTTGAGATGACAAAGGATTGGTGTCAAGGATGTAGGATAGGCTAGGATGGTCGAACGGCAGGGCGAAGCGCGTTTTCAGGCTCTTATATTCACTCATGCAGTCCTACAAACAGGCCATCTCAGAGTGACGCAATGACGCAATCGCATCTCCAGGTGCTCTAATCGATTGGCGACGCGGGATGGAAGTCGTTCCCGAGTTGAAAACAGGCGCCAGCAGGCTCATGGCTGCTAGTCGTCCAACTAAGAGGATGAGCCAAGGAAAGATGCGAGCATGAGGTACAAATTTCGATGGTTTTGACTCTTCTCATTGTTCCGTGGGTGTGGTTTATGCGATGGCGTGAGGTGATCTTCAGTGTTCGCGCGATAAGGCCGGGTGGATTGATTCGCCCAGCGACTGACTAAGCGAGCTGTATCCCACTGTTCGACCTGGTGATTGCATTCTCACATGTCATCGCCGACATGGACACGGCTTGCTCGGAGGTCGGTGGAAGCTTTGGCGAGAGATGCGCTGCACGAGGATTGCTGGGATCTGTAGTCTTGTAGCTCTTGCCCCCCCTAACGCAGGGGCAGTGAGCGGGCCACGCGTGGTATCAGATTGCGTCGTTATACACATCATATACACAACACACACTCTAGAAACCGGCTTATGGTTTATTACCCTAGGCGTAGAGTTTTGATAGCCTCGCGAGGAGTTTACACAATCAAATACAAGTCTTAATTTGGGCATGCCTTTTTTGAAGAGGCTTGAATTACGATTATGCGGTACGAAGCGCTCTAACTGTATCGTGGTTGTACAAAAGTTGAAAATCGGTAAAGGAGTATCATCATATCGAACATCTGATACTTCAAGATCTGAGGCCTTGCTCATCACTTGGTCTGGTTTGACCTTCTTCCGCGTTTCTAGCTTGCACTTTGTCTTGGTCTGCATGCTTGGCCGGATCAAAGACATAGATTGGGAACTCGAGGAAGATGGTTCTCTTTAGAATGACGGGCATCTTGGCGTATAGCTGTGGCGGGAAAGGGATGAGAATGCTCGTCCGGTGGAGGTATTGCTCGTACTCGGGCCATCGGTTGCCTTTCTCGTATCTCTTCTTTGCGCCAGGTCGTTCCTGCAGCGTAAGGCCGGATACGAACATGAGTAGGAGAGTCAGGAAGAATGGACCGAGAATAGAAGCGTACAGTGCATCATATGCACCGCCCGAGACGTAGTTGTTTGCAGCCGGGGATACAGCGATCGTGAAGATACCTGTCATAATCAGTTTCGGTCCAAAGAATCTCAATGAACAACACCTACCGAATTGAATAATTATCTCGCCGAAGTAATTTGGGTGGCGCGTCCAGGCAAAGAAACCAACATTGCATACGGCGCCATCGCTACCGTGAGCAGTACGGAACCTGTACTTTTGGACGTCGGAAACACTCTCCATGATGAACCCGATTGACCATAGGATAATGCCAGCGATGTCACATCCTGTTCCAAAGTCTGGCTGATTGAACCGGGTAACTTTTGGCGAGTTCAGGATAGTGACCGGCATGGATACAGTCCAGACCCAGAACATTTGACTGTAATCCATCAGCAACAACATCCAGCTGACGTCTGTAGCTACTCACAATACCCAGAATCCGAGGAACGACCAGAACTTGTCCCTCTTGTCGTCGAAGCGATCATCTTTGCCAGTCTTGAGAATTCTGAAAAGGAGGAAGCCGCTCAATCTTGCCGCCCATAGCATGATGAACAACGAAACGACAATATTGCGCGCATCGCCTCGGTTTTCGCTACACGAGAGCGTGATAATGGCAAGAAGGATGAAATTGGTGCCGCCGGCGAAGTCGGTAAGTTTGTCGAACTTGAACGAAAAGGCAATCGCAAAGCCGATCAGCTGGTACGCAACAGTGACGAGGAAGGTGATGGCAAGATAATAGTCATCGAGGACGTGTATGGCGGCCATGATGACCTTTGGACGGTGCTGCTGTTGTGTGCGCGAACCTTGACAGCAGAGCTCCGCCTACATATACAGAAGCCTAGATCTGACAGCTACGTCGCTACCTACGGAAGCCGAACATTCCACGCTGCGCTGGCAGAATTTGGCCGACTCCGACGAGCGAGAATCGTATTCTTTGCGATGGAAGTTGGCCCCAGGGGCTGCAAGCGTCAGGCCCAGGGTAATGACGCACGTCATCGGTCGCCAAGCCACGATTACTAGGCACGACTTTCTCCCGCGATCACCAGCCCTACCTAGGTACGCATGCTTCACAGAACAACGCGACTTTGCAGCGTCGCGATTCATAAGCCTTTTCTATCGCACGGGCAATTGAGCGGAAATAAATCGGTAATGGAAGATCGATTCCGTTCATGCACGAGCGGAAGGAAGAATACGCCATGTTCCACAGAGTGAAACGCTTCCAGTGTGAACCCCATCGCCTCGCGCACACCGCGTGTCAGACTTCATCACCATAGCGGCTGGCCAGACGATCGTGAAGCTTGACTACCATCAAAGTCGCTGTTCGTGGGCCTGTCGATCATGGATCGCACCTTACTAGTCTGCAACAAACCTTGATGGTTAGGTTGACCCGACAATGCCATCACCGGCTGCACTACTGCGCGCTGGGACTCCATTTGAGGAACATCGTTCCGACCCTTGAGACGCACCTGAACACGGTTCGAGTAGCCGCGAAGGCTCGAAACCAGCACCACACGGTTAGAAACATGCTGAGCGGGGCTGCCATGTCGGACCCGTTAAGTAGGATAGTTTCCGCCTCAGTCATGAACCTTTGAACGGTTTGGCACGCTCTCGCACTATCGGAAGCTTACATTCGTTTGCATCCGGACTACCTGTTTCTATTGTGTGTCCACACGTTTCCGTTCCATCTTCAACTCTTCGGTCTTCTGCTGTGCAGGTACTGAGCGGTTCTGCATGTCTGCGACATCGCCTTCGATTCTATTCCAGCTGGACTGTTGATGTACTAATTACTAATTCTCTTTTCCATCGTTCCTGGTTTTCGCTTCATCAGAGATATCGCCATGACAAGAACTCGGTCGTCCTGGGTGCCAGCCCTGCTGCTCATCGGTGCAGTATGTATGCCGTTTGCCTGTAGAAACTCTTCACTGACTATGTTTAGACGGTCACTCAGGCAGTACTTGACCTTCACAATACTAACATACGAACCGAAGTCTCGGGCAGACGTATCGACAACTTGGTTTCGGGACTCGACTGGCAACGACGGGATACAGGAGCACTCGCCAGTGCACTGGACAATGGAAATATCGCCGCCAGGTTTGCACAAAACGGCCTGGACGCAAACGCCTTATTGAATGGGCTCGCGCAAGGGCAAGGACAAGGCCAAAGGAGTGGGAACGGAGACATCACTTCGGGTGATGTTGGTGGAGACCTCGCAAATCAGATCGCTGGTGGGGGCTCTACGACCGTTGGCGACATTCTCATTGGGCTTAATGGGCAAAAGCAGAGTCCATCGAGGAACCAAACCAGCACGCCGCAGCCGCAGGGCCAGAGTGGTGCGCAAGGAACGTCACAGGGTGCTATCGAAGGAGCAGGAGGAGACATCAAGTCGAGCGACATCGCTGGGGATCTTGCAAACCAGCTGGCTCCCAAACCCGGTTCTGGTCAGAGTGGCAGCGCCGATATTGCTGGAGATCTTGCGAACCAACTCGCACCGAATGGACAAGGTCAACTACCATCCCCGTCTGGAGCACCACAAAATGGTAGTAACTTTCAGACTATTCAGATAGTTCAGACTATCGTCACTCAACCCAATGGCCAGGAGATTGCAGCAACGCTGGTCGAAGCAGCGCCGCAGGGAGCAGCCAAAGCGACGCCACCCGCTGGAGAAGCCCCAGCAGCAGCATTGCCATCCGTCCCAGCTGAAGCGACATCAGCATCCTCATCAGCTGCCGGAGAAGCAACTGCTGTTTCATCATCAACCGCCGCAAAAGCACCAGCTGAAGCACCTGCTTCATCACCGGCAGGAGCGGAGGCCCCGACTACGACGTCTTCGGCTAAGGTGGAAGCACCGGCAGAGGCAGCACCGGCATCGTCTCCAGCGAAAGGAGAAGCATCCGCTTCATCATCAGCTGCCGAAAAGGCACCAGCTGCATCCTCCAAAGCTGCTGTCGAGACACCAGTGGTAGCAACTGCGTCAGCATCATCCGCCGCCGTTGAGAAACCAGCAGAGGCTCCCGCTTCGTCAAAGGCGGCGAAGACAGTTTTCCCTGCTGGGAAGTCAGCTTTGCCAAAAGTGACCCCTATTCCCTGGACGAATGCGCCTTCCCAGGTGGGAGGTATGGCTGCTGGAAACTCCAGCAGCATGGGTGCTAAGGGGGCCGCTATGCCCGCTGCTGAGCCTATGCCGACGGCCAGTCTAGCGGAAAACAAGAACTCTACGGTACGTTATTGAGTTATGTTCTATTCTGTACATCGCTAACGCTACCGAAGGGTTCAGCAGCCGCCATGGCACCTGCAGCTGCCGTGACCGTATCGGCCGGATCAGAGCTCGCAGCTGGCGCTCAAGGTGCCTCAAACTCCACTTCTGCCAGTACTGCAGCAATCGACTCGGCCAAACTTACGGCCGGAGGCCTTGCTGCAACGACAACAACTGCAGTGGGCATGGCAGTCACAGTCAAAGCCGATGGAAACAGTACTGCTGGAGTTGCCAGCGCTTCTGGTGGAGGTGGAGCAGCAGCCGCAGTTACAGTTGTCGCTGGCTCAGGATCTGGAACGAACGGCACTGCATCCTCAGGTGGGGCAGCAGCTGCGGTCACTGTTGTCGCTGGCGAAGGAAGCAATGGAACCGCCGCCGGCCTTGCGGGAGCTACAACAACTACAAAAGCCGCGGCTGCAGTCACTGTCGTCGCAGGATCCGGTGGCGCAGCCGCCGCTACAGCAGCTTCTCAGTGTAACTGCGCTTGCTTGTGTCCTGCTGGATCTTTCCCCATGTCCGCACCACAGGCCCAGCCCTTCCAACTAGGATCCATGAGCAGCGCGCCAACAATGAGTCAGAGTACCATGCAAACTGTCGTGGGCAGTGCGGTAACGGTTGAAGCTGGGGGTTCGCCACCCCCTGGAGCACAGCAGGCTGCTTCGACCAGCTCAAGCAGCACCGTAGCTATCGACTCGGCTACACTGACTCGGCCTGGCCTTGTCGCAGGAACTACGACGAGTGCGGCCGGAGCGGGTGTTACTATGATGGCTAGTGGATCTGCTTCTGCTTCTGCTTCTGCTTCTGCTTCTTCAGCGTCTGCGACATCAGCATCTGCATCTGCAAGTGTCACACCATCTGTCGAGGTATCGCTTGCATCAGCAACTTCTTCCTCTCCCTCTCCAAGAGCAACAACAAGCGCACAGGCTCAGAGCCAAGTCGCAGCCGGCGCGCCTGCGCCTACGCCCGCTGAAGAGCCCCTTCCCTTCGATATCAGCACTGTTGCACTACAGAGTCGTGTTACGGTGAATCTCGGAAGGAGGTTAGTGAAGCCGACGCCGGAGGTCCAGGCGGCGGTGTGGTGGTGGTAGATATCTCAGATTCCACAACATCAATGGTCTATCTTTTGTTAGTTTCTATGTTATATAGTTGATTGTAGCAGTTGAACATTGAGTGTTCCTGTGAGGTAGTAATGTTGAGGAGAATACAAAGGTGTGGGTATGACTGTTCTTGTGCATTGCTGCTCGTGTCTATGGGTATCATCTGCCGTCTGTTTGGATAGAGTCATAATGCTCCTTCTTCAAGATCCTGTCACTTCTTCACCTCCCTCCTGTACTTTTGCCTTTTTGTTCTTGGCTTGCTGGCGCTTCGAGATTGGCTTTTCCGCCTTGGTCTCGTGCAGGGGAGTGCCCTCTAAGCTCTCGCCTGGCCGCTTGCCGTTCTGGTTCTTGTTTGCTTTCCCCTTGTGGCCTTGTTTGTCTTTGCCCCCGGCCGCAGAGCTCTGCGCTGGTTTCTCACCACCATAGACAATATCTATGATGCCCTTGAAGCTCTGGCGCTTCAGTCGCGCATACTCGACTACGCTCCTGGGCTCCTTTGTAAGACCGTCTTTCCCTCTCTCTGTGCCGAGTCCCCAAACAGAAGCCAGGTTGATGACATCGCTTGGTGCGCGTATGCCTAGCACGCTCTTCGCTTCTGAACTAAAGATGAGGCCCCGACCGCGGGTCACGCGTATGAGCTGTGTCGCATTGCTAATCAGGTTGCGCTTTGCGGCGGGATCGCTTGACATGATACCCTGGCTGTAGCATATCTCAATCTTAATACCACGGGATATAGCTGTCCCCAGCGTAGGGAACTTGAAGTGGGACTCGAACCGCCTAGTCAGGTCGAGTGAAATTATGTCTACGTCCAGACTCTGACATGCTTGCTGGAGGGTGCGATCGTCGGTCGGTCGCGCAGCCACGAGGTCATATTGCTGCTGGAGTTGGGGTATGCGGAAGTTGGAGGCCGAGTCGGTCAGGAAGATGTTGCAGCGTCGTACAATGCGCATGCGCGGAGGAACTGGAAAGGGGAGTTTTGTGGGTACAGGTGAACTCTGGTTGAGCAACGCATTAGTGATTGAAAAGTAGAAGGTGAAAGGGCCGCCGCTTCCTCGACGTACTATATCAGTCGGCAGTTTTCCCGAATAGGTGTGCGTGAGAGCAACAACGTCGTATCCTACTGCACCGCGTCAGTCCACCGCCGGCGCATTCAACTACAACCCAAAGAGCTCACATTCGTCGAGAAACGCTACTGTGCGCTGCAGCTCGCGCGTCGCGTCCGTCCAGGGCACATTAAGGTCGTGGAACATGGCTGCAATAGCTAGAATGATTACTGCAGGGGTTGAGGGGGAAGTGCGGCAGCGCAAGATAAATAATTGTAAGTGAGATAGAAGGGATCGTCATCAGCACCTGGGCCCGCCTGCCGGAAAAGCTTGGCCCTTGCCTGGTACTAGTCTAACGCCCACAAGCCATCCTCCACCACCAACACGAGCAGCCAGAGCTCACCACCGCCGACACCCAGGCACCCCCGCCCAACCAAGAGGCCCATCGCGACTGCCGTGACGGCCCTCTGCCGTGCCTTCCTTCATACCGACTCCTTGCGCTCGCTGTACTTGGTGCGCTTGCAGGCCTTGCCCTCTTCTCCCAGGGTCCCGACGTCCTCCGCTTCTTCACCCCACTACACGACCCCTCGCTCGATACAACAGGCCCTTGGCGCATAGATCTCACTGATCTCACCTCAGGAGAACGCGCGGAGTGGACTATCACAGATCTCCCGAAGAACTGCTTTGTTGCCCGAATGGCGTTGAACAACAGTAGCGGGGCTACAAGCCTCGCTCGCGTCTACGCCGATGTCAACGCGAACATGCCCCGGTCATACTGGGACTACGACTCCGTGAATATCTCCTGGGGCGTTCTCGAGAACTACGAGGTTGTCCGTAAGATCGGCCGTGGAAAGTACTCGGAGGTCTTTGAGGGCATCAACGTGGTTAACTACCAGAAATGCGTCATCAAGGTCCTCAAGCCTGTCAAGAAGAAGAAGATAAAGCGTGAGATCAAGATCCTGCAGAATCTGTCGGGTGGCCCCAACATCGTCTCGCTGTTGGACGTGGTGCGCGACAACCAGGTTAGTGACGGCTCCGACTGGATTGGCGACTGGGTACTGAGGCCCAACCGCTACCGCGTGCTTGAGAGAGAAGCTGATTAACAATCTACAGAGCAAGACACCCTCGCTGATATTCGAATATGTCAACAATACCGACTTCCGGAGTCTGTACCCCAAGTTCCAGGACTACGACGTGCGATACTACATCTTCGAACTGCTCAAGGCCCTCGACTACTGCCACAGCAAAGGCATCATGCACCGTGATGTCAAGCCTCATAACGTTATGATCGATCATGAAAAGCGGAAGGTGGGTACATCCTCCCCGAGCAGAGGAGCATAGCTAACGAGTAGTAGTTGCGCCTCATCGACTGGGGTCTAGCGGAATTCTACCATGCAGGAACCGAATACAACGTCCGCGTCGCGTCACGTTACTTCAAGGGCCCCGAGCTACTAGTCGACTTCCAAGAGTACGACTACTCGCTTGATATGTGGTCATTGGGTGCCATGTTCGCTTCGATGATCTTTAGGCGGGAACCATTCTTCCACGGCAACAGCAACTCTGACCAGCTCGTCAAGATTGCCAAGGTGCTTGGAACGGAAGACCTGTTTGACTATCTCGACAAGTACGACATTGAACTAGATGCCCAGTACGACGACATACTTAGTCGGTATCCCAAGAAGCCTTGGCACTCGTTCATCAATGCCGAGAACCAGCGCTTTGTCAGCAACGATGCGATTGACTTCCTCGACAAGCTGCTGCGATACGACCATCAGGTAAGTCTTGTCATATGTAAAGATGCATTGTCAAAGACTAACATGTATCAGGACCGACTGACTGCCCAAGAGGCTATGCAACATCCTTACTTTGCGCCCGTCCGACAGGCTGCGCAGCAAAACAGCGCCGCGGCATGATTGAGATACCCATTCACGTAATTAGACTTTATGTAATAGCATAAAAGTTACAGCAACGAAATACTCGGTCTCCCATTCATCCATTCCAAGTTCTTTGGCTTGAGACACAACTGAGGTGCCGGCGTACAAGCACAAGGCGCAAATCACGGAGCGGCAGTGCATAGGGCAAGGTGCTAGGTATCGTTCTTGTATAAGCGATGGTGAGCGCAATGGTACATCGCAGGCGCATGGGAGCAAACAAGGCTCAACAAGCAATCGGCTCAATGCATATTGGGGTGTTGGTGGACAATCATTCTTGCTAGAAATGTCTTATGCCCACGGTAGTCAATGATGATTCTTTTTGTGACACATCCATCTCTGACTCGACTTGTGCACCTCACCTGGTGTCTTGCTTTTCATCATATGTAAATCATCGTCGGCCACTGCCGACATAATGTCGGCGAGCTCCTATCATCTCGCAATGACTGTTTCCCGTCATGACTGTGAGCCATGCTCATCGCTCGATGACTGCATACAACAATGGTTCGTCGTCGTAGGCGGGGTCCGTCCGAGCTCCTGGATGTGGGGTGACGCAGGCCGGACTTGGACGACTCACACCCAGGCACTTTTTTGTTAATGTTGCCCCGCACCGCGCCCACTACACTGCGCGCCGCCTGCAGACGAAACCTCGATTCTCAACACCTTGCCAGACGCCGATTGCAATTGAGACGGCCAATCCGTAGCCTATCGCGAACCTACACCCCGCTTCACGCTGAGCGCGTGCTCACCCACAAACACCACTACTCGACCGCAACCATGGCGCTCAACGCGTCCTCCCACAACTCGACCGGCGAGAAGACGACGCCCAACACTGCGCCGCCGCCTGAACTCAGCGCAGACGTCAAGAAGGACATCCTTGGCGCTGCCGAGAACGAGGCTACCGGCCAACATGCGCCCGGCCGTGAGAACGACAAGGGCGTAGAGAAGAAGGAGAAGTCGGCCAAGGAACTGGAAAAGGAGCGCAAGAAGGCCGAGAAGGACGCAAAGTTCAAGGCAAAGAAGGCAGCTGCCGCCGGTGCCTCCAAAGATGCCGCCGCTCCAGCCAAAGAGAAGAAGAAGAAGGGCAAGGAGGAGGAGCAACTACCAGAATACGTCGAAGAGACACCCAAGGGCGAGAAGAAAAGGCTACGACCCCTAGACGACGCATACACAAAGGCATACATACCCAAGGTCGTCGAGTCGGCATGGGATGCATGGTGGGATTCCCAGGGCTTCTTCAAGCCTCAGTTCGCCGAGAACGGAGACGTCAAGGGACCCGGCCACTTCGTCATTCCCATCCCGCCACCCAACGTTACCGGAAAGCTACACTGTGGACACGCGCTCGCTACAAGTCTCCAGGATGTCCTCATACGGTGGCATAGGATGAGGGGTTACACCACCCTCTACCTGCCTGGTTGCGACCACGCTGGTATCGCTACACAATCCGTCGTCGAGAAGATGCTCAAGCGGAGGGAGAACAAGACCAGATACGACCTCGGCCGCCAAAAGTTCCTTGAGCGGACTATGGAGTGGAAGGAGGAATACCATCAGCATCTCACCAACACTCTACGCAGAATGGGTGGATCGTTTGACTGGACACGCGAGGCTTTCACCATGGATGAAAACTGCTCAAAGGCTGTTACAGAGACTTTTGTGCGCCTACACGAGGACGGTCTGATCTACCGCAGTAACAGGTTGGTCAACTGGTGTACGGCCCTCAACACGGCTCTCAGTACACTGGAGGTCGACAACAAGGATCTGGCTGGACCTACCAAGCTGTCTGTGCCTGGATACGAGAGGATGGTTGAGTTCGGTGTCCTTACTCATTTCAAGTACGCTATTGAAGGTACCGACCAGTTCATTGAGATCGCTACAACACGTCCCGAGACAATGCTCGGTGACTCCGGTATCGCTGTCCACCCCAAGGACGACCGTTACAAGCATCTCGTAGGAAAGAAAGCTCGTCACCCCTTCATCGACCGTCTCATGCCTATCGTCGCTGACGACTATGTCGACCCTGAGTTTGGTACCGGAGCTGTGAAGCTCACTCCGGCACACGACCCCAACGATTTCAACCTCGGAAAGAAGCACGGTCTTGAGTTTATCAACATTCTGAACGACAACGGAACTATGAACAAGAACGCTGGTCAATTCGAAGGCGCCAAGCGCTTCGATGTCCGCTACACCGTTGTCGATGCGCTGAAGAAGGCGGATCTCTTTGTAAAGACGGAGCCTAACCCCATGAAGGTCCCGATCTGCTCAAGATCTGGCGACGTCATCGAACCCATAATGAAGCCGCAATGGTGGATGAAGATGGACAGCCTGGCCAAGCCCGCTATCGAAGCCGTCGAGAAGGGCGATATCAAGATCAGGCCCGCCACCTCCGAGAAGGTCTACATGCACTGGATGAACAACATCCAAGATTGGTGCCTGTCCCGACAGCTGTGGTGGGGCCACCAGGTTCCCGCGTACTTTGTCGAAATCGAAGGTCAAGCGGGTGACCGAAGTGAGGACGAGCTCTGGATCACCGGCCGAACAGAAGAGGAGGCGCGGGCCAAGGCCGAGAAGAAGTTCCCTGGCAAGAAGTTCACGCTATCACGGGATGAGGACGTTCTCGACACATGGTTCTCTTCCGGTCTGTGGCCATTCTCCACCCTCGGCTGGCCCAACCAGACTGTCGATCTGGAGAAGCTCTTCCCCACATCTGTTCTCGAGACCGGATGGGACATTCTCTTCTTCTGGGTTGCCAGGATGATCTTCCTCTCGCTGTACCTTACCGGCAAGGTTCCGTTCAAGGAGGTCTATTGCCATTCGCTCATCCGTGACTCTGACGGCAGGAAGATGTCCAAGTCGCTGGGTAACGTTGTAGATCCTGTTGACATCATGGATGGTATCACTCTGCAGAAGCTACATGACCAGCTTCGCGCAGGTAACCTGGACCCCAAGGAGTTGACCAAGGCGGAGAAGTACCAGAAGACAGCCTTCCCTCAGGGTATCCCCGAGTGCGGTGCTGATGCGTTGCGCATGGCCCTTGTTGGGTACACCACAGGAGGAGGTGACATCTCGTTCGATGTTAACGTAAGTGATTTCCATATAGTGTTCTCAATGTTGTATATACTGACTACATATTCAGGTCATCCACGGATACCGGAGGTTCTGCAACAAGATCTACCAGGCTACAAAGTACGTCATTGGACGTCTGGGTGACAATTTCACACCACGGGAGCAGGTCGCAAAGGGAGGCTCAGAATCGCTACCTGAGCGGTACATTTTGCACCAGCTTAACGTCGCTTCCAAGAAGATTAACGACCACCTGGAGGCACGAGAGTTTAGTCTGGCTACCC